GTGTTTGGGTCAGTGTTCGTGGCTAGCTTAGTTTAAAGTTAAGACAGATAGATGATGACCGTCTTTTTCTCCATCCCCATTTTTAGGCCTTGTGCCACATTATCTGTATTTTTAATAGAAATATATATAATCGCTATTCTCTATACTATCCTCTATACTATTTCTCTATACTAATCACCCTTCGGATTACTATTTGGTGGTTACTATTCGAACAAGTATTACTAGTATGAGTATTAGTCGAAGGAGTTATTACTGGTATCTGCGATTCTAAAGTCTCGACTACAACGAGAATTACGAATGTGAGAACGAGCGTTCGTTGACATCGCAAAAGCGTCTGTCATCACAATGGCGACGAGGATTCGTCCAACTTACACGAGGAAAAATTCATCTGCAAAAAGTTCAGCAAAATAAAAGAGTTAAAACCTATCATTGTTCAAACGTTGCAGCAACAAAAACTAGAAGAACTATAAGTGCAACAATAAAAATAACACCATGAATAGCAGTTGCAATTACAATAACAATTTTTTTGATTTGTTCACTAAAATGATGGAAAAAAAAAACTTCAAATACTTTCCCTCCAAATACTGTCGCTAATTCAATCAGTGAATTCGTGTACAATTTAGATGAAGGGGTAACTGTTTCATATTATTACAGAAGATATGAAGGAATCTTTAAAAGGGATTATTCACATTGGAATGATGAAAGGTCGGTTATTATTAAGGAAATTATCCCCTGCTGAACATGAAAAATATGTAAATTATATCATACCAAAGAAACCAAGAGAGATAAGTTTTGATGAGACCATCCTAATGCCATCGAAAATCTTTTGTGATAGGAGTTCATTGTTTAATACAAGATGGCGATGTCTTAGCTTGGTCCGACGATGACGATTTTGTCACGTACGCAGAAGTCGTGAATCGAGAATGCGAAAAGTTCAAATTAAATGAACTCCAGATTTATTTAAATGCCTGATAATCGCTCAGGGTTTAACTTCTAATAAAGACGCAGAGATAAGATCCAGGTTACTTGCTGAATTAGAAAGTGATCCAAAATTAACTCTCGAAGGAATAGCGGAAGAGGGTTAACGTATTGTGAAATTGAAATTCGATACCGCAAGGATTGAGTTAAAAAGAAACTTCACAGATAAACAGTGTCTGACCATCTAAAGGGAAAAACTACAAACGTTTTTCAACTACTAACAGAACATTAAGGGAAGACTGTAAACCCCTCTCAATACTTAATACTTGTCACGAAAGAAAATCACCATATTGATACATGTTTTTTAATCCTATCTAATCTTTATCATCTCTGATGATGGATTATGTAAGCCGAAAGCTTAGATAGGATTAAAAAACATGTATCAATATGGTGATTTTCTTTTTTTTTTTCAATGATAATGTTATTAAGCTTATCAGACGATATGTAAGGAATTTGCATAATATAGATAAAACTTGTCTATATTATTTAATGAAACACGCATCAATATATATATATATATATATATATATATATATATATATATATATATATGCGTATATGTGATGTACTTTACAGAATAAACAACCCGTTTCATATATTCGCATTATGCGCCCTGTATGCATTGAAACGGATTATATGTCTGTGTGATTAAGATAACTTATTTAATTCACGTATCTGGGTTAAGTGAAAAGATTTCTGTGTAAATAACAATGAAAATTTGAAGTGTAAAGAATTAAATAAGAAAGAAAAGAGACAAGTTTCAATGGACAATGCTTGGCAGTTGTTCTTCTCCCGAGATAAAACGAAAAAGAAATGGAGGTCTGCAAATATTTAACAGTCAACTTTTTTTCAAATTCACTATTTTATATTATTTATAATATATATAAGAATCCATGACAAAAACCCAGCGGACAAAAGCCAGCCTCTTATCCGAAAAGTGAACAAAATCACAGTCTCATAAATAAAAAAAAAGTCTCATGTATAAAAAGTGTCATGAATAAAAAGTTTAATGTATAAAAAGTCTCAAGTATAAAGAGAAACGAATTTAACATTGAAAATTTAAAAAAAAAAATTTAATTCAAATTTTAGTGTCAAATTGAGAAAATCATAATAATATCCATTTTATACACTTATATCTATATATACCTGTACACACATATATACACTTATATCTATATATACCTGTACACACGTATATATACTTTTATATATATATTTACCTGTACACACATATATACAGTTATATCTATATATAACTGTACACACATATATACACTTATATCTATATATACTTGTACACACATATATACACTTATATCTATATATACCTGCACACACATGTACGTGTATATGTGGCCCCCTTATATATACACATGCGTACACACAGAGAAATACATCAAAAACTTCAACTTCAGTATCTGTCTATATTTCTGAGATGAGGTATTATGTACATTATTTACATTATTCGGATAATTGTCCTCATCTTTGTCGCCATATTTATTACAACGTTTCGGCCGTTGTACGCTCCGGACTTCTTCAGGTGGTTGGAATGTCGAACTGAACCCTTTATTTCTCTCACTAGGGTAGACTGTTCATGTTTAATGGATGTCAGTTATCATTTATCTCCTGTTAATTTCCCCCTGAAAGTTCTCCAGTGCCTTGACCAGGTATTGAACTCACACTCTTTGGGTTCTCTCACTGGATCTAACTAACGCCTTTATCCACTGTGCTGTGGGGCGTTGTGAAATGAATCTGGAGTACGGGGCGTTGTGAAATGAATCTGGAGTACGGGGCGTTGTGGTGTATTTGCACTTATTTCTTTTGTGTTTTTATAATAAATTGATTAATTTTCATTTAACATGTGTTCAGTAAACATCAAAACTGAGTGAAATTAAATTGTTTTTCGAATTGTGTCGTCAATACTCTTGTAAAATCTTACTCATAAATACTATTAATAAAAAGCAATGAAAACATACGGAAGTCGGCAACAAGTATAAGCTTTTGATGACCAAGAATACTCACAAAGATACCCATCAAACATTCAACAAAAGAAATATATATATATATATAATATATATATATATATATATATATATATATATATATATATATAGTACAAAACCTAAAAGCAAAATAAAAAATAACAAGTGGGTTAAAGAACAAAGACAAACCGAAAATGGACGAGATTGGTGGCCATCTTAGTAACCTCCCACTCTTCACTTAAAACTGAAGAGGCTGGTCAAATTTTCCTGTCTGAAGCTCAAGTATGCCGGTTTAAATAAGATACGTTAAAAAAAGAGTCAAACCGTTTGGCTTTAGAACCTGAAAGAGTTCAGGGCCAGCTTAGGTCAGCATTTGAGAGCTATCAACTTATTTATATACGCCACATCTTAACCAACTATTAAAAAAATAAACTTGATCTTTTTTTTTTTTTTCCTGTGGCGCGCTTTCGCGTCACTCGTCGACCTGTCAAAGAATAAACGCCTACAAGCCAAGAGGAGATTTGCAGGCGTTTCCGCTTCGGATTTATTTTCGGTTTTTTGAATAGGATATCCATACTGGGGTCAGTTTACCATGCGAATTTCTGCCTGTGATTTAAGGGTGGATGTCTCATTTTTATAACTGCAACAATTTTTTTTTTTTTTTTTTTTAGATTTAAACATATACCTTCGATCACAGGAGGATAACAATGTCTTATCAAAATTGCAAATCACACTTTTATTTTACTATTATGAGCTTAAAGACTTTTAAGAACAGTAACAATTAAAATTAGGTACCATCACTGATTCGCTAAAAAAAGAGCATACCATAATGAAAAAATGCACTAAACTTAATAAAAACAAAGATTTATTGTCAAAATGTTTATTATTATTATTAAAAGGAAAGACCAAAGAATTTTTTTATTATTAAATTATATTTTTAATCTTTTTTAGAACGCTCCAAATTTTAGTTAAAATTCTTTTTTTTTCAGCGGCTGGGGCGTCAGCGCGAAGTCCAAAAGTTAGTATAGGAAATTTTAGTGTCGTTTTTGCGGGGAAAGAGACATTGATTTGGAAATTCTTGCAAAAATCAAATAATTATCTGATTTTAATGAAACTTTCAGGACTTATTCACAAATGAATTAAATTATTTTCGAAATGTATCTTTTTTAGAAAATCTTAGCAAAAAAATATTTCTTTTACATCTGTTACCCCACATTTATTTAATTTTATGAAAATTCGAGAAACCAAATCTTGGAGAGTTGTATGTTTATATTAGTTAAAAGCATAACTCATCGTAGAATTTAAAGTTACCGAATCTGCTCGGAGTCGTAAAAAAATGCAATAAAACTAATACGTTATTTAATTAGAAAAGCTTTTTATTGCTTACATGAAAAAGATATATTATGAAGTCTATTGTCTTAAAAAAATTAGATGAATAATGAATTTTTCAAAAAATTGTATTCATTTATTTTAATAATTTTAATTATAATAATTTCTAAAGTTTTAAATCTTTTAAAATTCTTCCTTACTTTGCAAAGGTTAGGTGATATTGTAATTAAATAAAACTATATTTACTAATCATGAATGGAAAAGCTTAGTGTAATTCATCGACCCCCAATATTTTAAGAGAATTTTGAATTTTTTGTTGTGTATATAAACGTGCCGATTTTTGTAAATACGGACATCCATACATGATATTATCAGAAAATATGAGCGGTAACTATAGTAAATTTAAAAACAGTGTATCTCGAATTCTATAAAACATTAGATTGCGGAAAATATTTTCCTTGATTTTTAAGATTATTGGGTAGTTAAAAATTATATAAAAAAGGCGCTCACGTTATATTCCTCAATTAAAGTTTACAGACATATCCACCATAGAAAACAATTAAATAAACTTACGTCTGTCAGTCATGCTGTCAACACCTACCGCTGTGATAAAAATGCATTTATGCGATATTTTAAACTACAAGTAATATTTGTTTAAAATCAGATTAATTAAACTTTAAATTAGCGAATATTTCTAAAATAAAATTTCAGAAAAGCATATCTTTCTTTTTTCTTCTTCTCTTTTGTCTCTTTTTTCTTCTCTTTCTTCTCATTTGTCTTTTTCGTCTTTCGTTTCTTCCTCTACTTCTCTTTCTTTTTCATCTCTTTTTGTCTTCATTCTCCCCTTTTTCGTCGTCGTCTTCTAACATTCCTCTTCTCTCGCCTGCATCATAATGAAAAGAAAAATGGCAGTCCATCATGTGACCCTGCGTGCGCAAGCGTGCTGAATGCGACGTGGTTTATATTATAGCATGTTCAGATTTCACCCGTGGAGTTGTTTTGTCATGGGAACTTTTCACCGAGTCTTGCTATCAAGTTCTTGCCTCTGTTCGGTGACACGATACACCAAGAGATTTGTGACAGCTTTTACTGATACACGAGAACTTTAATTAAAAACCTCTTTGACATTTTACCTTTTACACACACACACACACACACTCACACGCGCACGCACACACACATACACACACGCGCACGCACACACATACACACACACGCGCACGCACGCACACACATACACACTCTCACACGCGCGCACGCACACATACACACTCTCACACGCGCACGCGCGCACGCGCGCACACACACACACACTCTCACACGCGCACGCACACACACACATACACACTCTCACACACGCACGCGCACACACACACACACACACACACACATGTAAAGAGATAACCTACTTGTCTACCAAAACAATCATAAGTTCAGGATTTTTAGTTTTCACTGCCTCGATATTTTGTCACTGGACTAGACAAAATCTAATTTTAGAAAATCTCTCTCTCATATATGCATTTTTCCTCGCCAATTTCACAAGTTTCATTCACAATGCAATCGTCAGGTGCTGAGTAAAGTTTTCAATAAGCACCTGATGATTACACTATTCAGGAAAATCATATATATATATATATATATATATATATATATATATATATATATATATATATATATATAAGCAAATATATGGATATAGATCCGACAGTATGAAGAAAAATATACTGAAAAATAAACAAAAATCCTAATATGCGATTATGCTGTTTTAATGTTTAATGTCAACGTCGGACGTTTCGGTCTAATAGACCATCTTCAGGACATTCATAAAACATAATTAACATAGACCATATACAATTCAACATGAAAAAGACGATGGACATAAAAGCAATACCAACCCAAACAGACAACTGAAATCCTCCATAAGATCAGCGCTCCGTTTAAATATGATCACATCGTCGCCACACGGGCGATGCTGTGAAAACGTATTCCTAAAATTTGAGTACCTTGAATGAATATGTTTTATATATACAAATAAGAGAAAGAACAGATGGAGTAAATATACAGCTCGTAGCATTTACTTTTTAAAAAAAAAAAGTGCTCAATACCAAGTAGACAAAAATATTATTATAATATTTTTATTATAATAGATTATAATGAAAACGTTTTACATCGCTACACAAAAGCTTTCATGTTTCAATTCTATGATTGTACTTTAAGGTGGTAGATAATAACATAATAAAATGATTTATTAGGGAAATTAAAAACAAATCGTTACCTCTTTTGGGAAGTTAAAGTGGGGGGGGGGCATAAGGTCAGAATTAATGCCCCCACCTTTTAACTTCCGAAAAGAGATAACGATTCGTTTTAAAATCTTCCCTAATAAATCATTTTTATCACAAGTTATCTACCATCGCCTGAGGAAGTACAATCATAGTATTGAAACATGAAACTTTTTGTAGCGATGTAAAATGCTTTTATCATAATATATATATACATATGTGTGTGTGTGTGTGTGTATATTTAGGCAGCAATCCCTCTTTTATACATGTTTCATTAAAGACGACAGACAAGGTACTGCGATTAAGCTTTTTTTAGTTTTTGAGTAAATGCTCTCTTTTAAGTAAACAGTATTAATTGCATTTACTGGCTTGAATGTTCGAGAAACTTCAGTAGAAAATATGCGTTCTCCGACAGGAATCGAACCTTGTATCCCATACGGAAACCCTCATATAGCCTCACGTGATGTGAAACATTCAGCTACAGAATAAGACAATCAAGGTGTCGTGACTAAGCTTTTTATTTCATTTTTCTTGTGTTCGAGCAAGTGTTTTCTTTTTTGGACACAAAAATTCACCTGTATATCTCACTCATCTCCCTCATACACACACACATCCACACACACACACACACACACACACACATATATATATATATATATATATATATATATATATATATATATATATATATATAATTACATGATGAAAACAAATATAGAGGTTAATGATTTAAATGGCGAGAATACATCTTCGCAAACAATTTCAATAATTTCTATATTTGTTTTTTTGTATGAATGATTCATGGAATTATAAATTAAAATTGCACCTATAATCTATCTCTCTCTCTATATATATATATATATATATATATATATATATATAACAACTATAACATACATTATGAACCCTTTGTGAGTTATTTCAACTTGAACTATATTCCGCTGGTAGTTTAAATTGCCCGTTTTTCCCAAGCGGAGCCCAAGTTCGACATTGCTTAACTTCGGTGATGGAACGAGAGAAGTTATTTTCAGCATACTATTCGACTTCGATTAATCTAGAAACACCCTTAAAGTGACTTTAGCTTTGGATGCAGAATTCTAGTCACATGTCTACAGACGTGCTTGTTAAACATTAACCTCTGCCTACACTTTGGTACCTAATAGACGTTTTGAAGTTTTATGAAATTTTTACGAACCCTTTATTTGTCTAAGATCATCCTTTTTTTTATTAATTTCACCCTTTTGGGTCCTTTAACTGATTTTCCAAACCCCCCACTAAGACCCCCTCCTCGCTTACTACATATTGAGAAAATTTCTGATCATGATTATGACACCTATTATATCGGACATCTAATATTGATGGATTTGTTTTTTTTACGGCTTATGAACATTTTGAAGTTATTTAAAGCCGAAACATATTTTTAAATGGTAATAATTTTTTTTTTTGAGTAATAATTTTTTTCTGATACAAGTCGTACTATTTAACCCATAGTTTGGAGGAGAGGTGGTAATTTATATTTTTCCCAAGGGCATTTGCACGTAAGTGAATATAACAAACTTAACTGCAATTGGGACTCGTCTCTCCGATTAATAATTTCGAGCCATTACACCACCCGCACATCCAAGCTTACAGCATCTCAGGACATCTAGGAGTAATCATTTGCCTTAGCAATGAAACTTTTTGTGATACCTAATGAGGAAAGAAGGTCTGGAAAAGTTAACACTCACGGGACATATTGTAAGCAGGAGGGTTTACGAATAAACTACGTTATGGGTTTCTGTGAATAAAAATAGGAAGTTGTGAAGAGCCGTAATCGCAGTTGTAATTGTAAGAAATTAGCACGTAAAAAATGTTTTGCATGGAAAATAATTGTAAATAAGTTTTGGGGGGTCGAGTGAGTCGAGATAAGAGCGGACCTGAATGTATTTGTAGGATATGTGTATATATGCGAGTGTATGTGCGTGCGTGTGTATATGCGTGTGCATGTGTGTGTCCGTTACATACATACGTAAAACCGTCGGTCCAAATGAGTATCATTGTCTTCTTATTTGTTTTCTCGACTCGAGCTGTCGACTCCATTCGCTTACTCGACCCAACTTCTATTCCTCTCTTTCATCCTCTCTACTTCACACACACACTCTCTCTTTCTCTCTCTCTCTCTCTCTCACTCCCACCTCTCTCTCTCTCTCACTCCCACCTCTCTTTACATCTAATGGACATTCTCTCTTTTTGTCACAAGACACGCACACGCCCAGCTGTGCGCTGGCCACCCCTACTCTCCAGCTGACTGGCGTGTCTCCTTCACACAGAGATGGCGTAGAAAGCGGAAGAAGATCACGCATTTCCGTGCTTTACTAAAACTGACCAGTTTTATCCACAAATTCTCCTTCCTTCTCCGCCTTATTTACCTCGCAGTCACCAGTCCAGCTCTCCTTCTGTCTTTCTCCTTTCTCTTTATTCGCTTCTTAAATGGGAAGCGTTGAGATATCAAATCGGACTTGCACTTCTTCGGCTCCTGCAACATTCACTGGACTCGTTCAAATGGCGGGTAAGAAGTTCAATTTATTCTACTTTGTATATCGATATGTTTTATCTTAACAGAGATTTCACGTTTCAAAAATCCATTCATATTCATTTCTTTACCCTCAAGCGAAAATTTTCAGACGATACCTAAGTCTTTCCTTCAAAATCATAAACGCTAGAGTGCTTCTCGTAGACAGTGATGGCTCTTCACAACTTCCTATTTTTATTCACAGAAACTCATCACGTAGGTTATTCGCAATTTTCTCCTGCCTTCAATATGTCCCGTGAGTGTTAACTTTTCCAGACCTTCTTTACTCATTAGATATCACAAGAAATTTCATTGCTAAGGCAAAGGATTACTCCTAGATGTCCCCGGGTACTGTAAGCTTAGATGTGCGGGTGGTGTAATTACCCGGAATTGTTAATCGGAAAAAAATTTAAAAATTCAGTTTCTCTCTCTCTCTCTCTCTCTCTCTCTCTCTCTCTCTCTCTCTCTCTCTCTCTCTTATATATATATATATATATATAAATATAATTTTATATGTGCAGTACTTATTCGAAAGTGCTCAATATTAGTGATAGAGCTAACATATTCAGTTGTATGTCCATATATATATATATATGGCGGTACTCGTTTGGAAAAAACCTCGGATAGCTCAACTTGCAGTAGAACAAATCGGTACTTGAGGGGAAATGGGAAATAAAAAAAGAAAGAACCAAGAACATTAAACGAAGGCGAAAACAACCGTCCAGTGTTCAAGCTCCAAGCCCAAAGAAAACAAAAATCCAAACGAATAAAAAGACAACTACGTAACGTGCTCAATACACTAAGTAGAGCAAAAAGATAATCCTAAGGACCCAGGCAAACCTACCTAGGTTTCACCTAAACGGATCTTCAGGGTATATATATATATATATATATATATATATATATATATATATATATATATATAAGTGGTCGTTCGCTAACAAAGTTTCTTTGGCGTTGAAATTTTAAATATATTCAATTTAATCCACTATCAAATCTTTAGAAAATGTCTCCAAATGTTCCCTTTAGCCGTTGTTTCAGTGACACAAGATCAAATCTAAAAA